GGGGTGGGCTGCATAGGAACTGGTAGGTGCTTGTAAACCTTTGCTTCCAGGTTCCGTAAAAGGTAAGTAATTTCTTGAGTAGCGGCTGTATGACATCAGTCATAGTTTATTTAACAAACAAGGGTTTCAGACATTTGTATCAGAACTGTTTGCACATTAACTACATGCTCAAGAAGATTCTGCTAACATTCTGTTGCTGTTATCCTGAGATATATAAGTTGCTACGTACTTCAAATTTTTTCTGATTTGCAGATATTGATGAGTGTTCAGACCCAGAACTCCAGGAGGGAGATAATTGTTCTGAGGGCTGTGTCAATACACTGGGTTCATACAAGTCACATTAACTACATGCTCAAGAAGATTCTGCTAACATCTGTTGCTGTTATCCTGAGATATTTAAGTTGCTACGTACTTCAAATTTTGTCCAACAAGTACAGAGCATATAAACCCTGTATCTACCAAGATTACCTTGTGTTCTCCTGGTTTTGAAATTGGACCATCTGGCAGCTGCATGGATATAGATGAATGTGCCATAAACAATGGAGGCTGCTCCCACACCTGTCAGAACATGCTTGGAGGAGCAAACTGCATCTGCCCCTGGCAGCTGCATGGATATAGATGAATGTGCCATAAACAATGGAGGCTGCTCCCACACCTGTCAGAACACGCTTGGAGGAGCAAACTGCCTCTGCCCTACTGGCTTCATGCTTGGAAATGACTGGAAGTCTTGTAAAGGTACACAGTTTTCTTAGAATTGTAGTTTTACTTGGTGTTTTATATGGCTAAGAGACTTGGTTTCTAACGCTGAGGGAAGAACATGTGTTGGGTGCTGAGGAGATATTTGGACTTAAGGGAGAGGAAGTAACAGGGTGATGAATAAATTGACTCAAAAATGAGTGTCATAGTTTGTAATGTTGTCCAAGGATTATTAAATGATCAGTTTGATGAGGATGATGTGGGCAGAACTTGTAGAATGCTTGAGGGAGATGAGAAATTAATACAAAATTCTGGCTGGGAATCCTGAAGGAAAGATTCCACTTGGGAGACCTAAGCATATATGGGAGAATGTTATTAAAATGGATTTGAAAGAAATAGATTGTGTGAGAATGGATTGGATTATCTGACTGAGAATAAGATCCAGAATTTGGCTGTCATGGCTGGTTGTTGCTAAATTTGGAGATTCTTTGTCATTTTGTTAAATACTGTTTTTCAGTTCAGGCCTTGGACTGAAGGACAGCTGACCTGACAGGTTTTCCTATGGCCTTCCTATACCTGGGTAGTGCCATTAGATAAGGCCCATCTGCTTTCATCTACACACTTTTAAATTCGTTATTGATAAATCCTCCTTCCATTAAATATTCCTTAACTTAGGCATTTCAAAAGTATCATTAAATAAACCACTAATAAATAATTCATACAAAGTAGAAAACTGTTCTGCATGTGTTTAAAAATTGTTTGTTGCTATGATATTTCTTTTAAATTAAATGTTGTCAATTTATGAATAACCACAGCGATGGAACTTCAACACATAAAGCAACACAACATTTCCACAGTTTGTGCACCTGGGTACATGCACACCTCTGAAGGACAATGTGAAGATGTGGATGAATGCGCTATACAAAATGGTGGCTGCATGCAGGGCTGTGTAAATATCAGGGGCAGCTACCATTGCCTCTGCGGACGTGAATTCTTTCTTGGAGCTGATGGGAAAACTTGTATTGGTAATTTGTCATCGTTTTCTTACATTGAATAGAGATAATAAATTCACTGCACACAAAATCAACATATTTGAATATCACAATCTCTTTGATCAGTGTTATTGATGACTGAGTTACAGTGACTAACATTGAAGATGTTTGTAGGCTTTGTGGATGGTACATAATGTTGAATTATTATGCCAATAAGAGGAAGGGTGAGACCAAATAACATACCAGGTTTCTTAGAAAGTTGTGCTGTGTTGTTTTCATACTGCAGAAGAACGAATGGACATTGTATGTCCACCATTGCCTACCCCACCATATGGCTATCTACATTGCACAAGGCGAGCTTTTATGGTGGCCCCAGAGTGGTGGCGAGCTCGTTGGCGTCAGAGGATCGTGAATCACGCGGGAGCAGTTTGCGAGTTGAGATGTCCACAAGGGTACAGAGTACGTGGGGAGTTCCGAAAACTTTGCGAATCAAGTGGCAGCTGGGCTGGTCCGCAGGATGGGATTTGCTTGCGTAAGTAGGTTTCTGACATCCAGTTTATGTGTTGCCTCTTTACCCACCTTTTTTTGGCATACTGAAATTTGTTAAATGAGAGAAGGGAGTGATGTCTTCAAAAGATGACAACTGAAAATTTTAAAAATATATATCTACCCCATCTGATACTTTGAAAAAGTTACTCTCTGTCATTGTATTAGTATACCTGATGTGAAATAGCATGATGTTTGGTCATGCAAGCTTGGATATTACAGATAGCTGATGAGGAAAAACAGTGCAACCCATAATAGCTTCTTTGAGTGATAGGGATGAACGAATCTGAGAAAAAATTATGTTTTATACTCAGCATTATAAATTCCATGTTATCTGATGTGCGGTATGCCATGTGAAAGTGTTTAGATAAATTTTTATCAAGAAATTAAGTATGTGTAATGCAAAGTAAAGTACTTAACTGAATATGTCTAACATTTAAAAAGACTTGAGGACATAAATGGAAGTTCTTATGCCACACCAGTATTTATCAGGATCAAGGGCATCACATGACAGGAGCATATCAACAAAATGACCGACTAACAGGAGACTGAATTAACTTTGGTTCTGCAAAATGTGCATTATTAGAATTCATCCACCTAAATATGTCTGTATCTCTCTGTAGAGCATCATCAGAATTATGCCCTTCTGGATTAACATATATCCCAGTATTGTATGTTGTTACACCAAATATCTCTGATTATGTAAATATGTTGATATGCTCTTTGCACATGATGCCCTCTGCATGGGTACATTTTTTTAATTACTATTTCACTTTTTAGGAATATATTAATGGTAGCAAGGTGTATTTAAGAATAGAAGTTTCATGTACAAATTATAAATTGATCTAGTTTGTATGAATATCTGGGAGGAGGGTGCATTTTTCTCTAAGCAGCATATTATTAGGAAAATGTTCTATGTTGCAGCGTCCCCAAAGCCAAGCATTGAATGTCCGCATAATATCAGTGTGAAGATCGAACCAGATCAGGCTACAGCATTTGTTGTCTTCCCGCAACCCACGACAGATGTTGACTGGTTCAGGTCAGTGTAACGTGATATTAATTTATTGAAAGACAGGTGTAAACATGTTCTTTAATGGTGATGCTGTTGTGATAGCCCTTTCTTTCTTGTGGCCTCTTTTCTGAGAAAACTTCCAGCTTGTAACGACAGGCTTCATTGCCTGCATGGTGCATGTCTTTCATTCTGTATTTCTTATGGTGTGTCCTACATTTCCCAGAAAGTCTACCAGCTGCATAGGAACAGTTTTTGTGGTTCAAGTTATTATTTTAATTTTTTCATAAACCTTAGTACTGTAGATCCACTATCTGATGTGTTTGATTGATCCATATTTGTGTGTTTGATTTTTTCATCATAACGAAAACTTGTATAATTCTCATGCCACCCATTGTGACGTGAAGTATTGGGTGTTAAGCCTCTTCAGTGTCGAAGATTATTTGCATGCGATGCTATATTCTGATGCCTTAGCATCTAGAAATGAGCATTTTCCCACATTATATCAACTGTCATCATAAAGTAAAAGGAGATTAAAACTTCCATTTTGTACGGCTACCAGCTGGATTATAAATCCAAGGTTTAATGGTGTTGCAGTATGTTAACTGCAACACACAAGCAGCTGGACTGCATACATGTTATAATGCATAGTAAATAATGATTAACAGTAATCCTAAACTCACTGGTACCCTATACGGTGAACACGTTTGGGAGGTGCCATTGGTCTTGTAACTCAGAATTTAATAAATTCAGACAAAATACTTACTTAGGTCAGATGTTTTGGTATAGGAATGTGGTTTCCAAACCAAGCTGGGGCAAACTCCTGGAGGCTGTACTTCCTCCTGGACACTGGCCAGTGACATTCACTGCCCGCCATCCAATCTCACGCCACACAGCATCATGTACCCTAGACATCACCGTCAGAATGTCGAGTGTATTGACAGAAGTGCCACGAGAGAAAGTTTAACAACTCTGGTGAAATGGCAGGGTATGAAGTCTGACAGTTGTCAGTGGATGAATTCTGGAATGGCCTGGATACTTATTATCAAGATTGACTAATTTATTTTGGCAAATGATTGCTGAGGTTCCTGTAACTGTTGGATGGATTCGATTTACATTCATAATCTTTATACCAAGCTAATTTTTATAGACTGTTTTTTTTTCTGTAAAATGTATGTATTTATTTCCATCTCGTAAATTTTCATAAAAGAATGCATGATGGGACGGTGTCTTATCAGCTGCACCTGAATCTTTGGCTGTGAGAGACAGATGAAAAGAATTCAGAAATGTTGTCAGTTAAATCAGGTTTCAGTTTATAAATTTTGATAATGTCGTAACAAACTGCAAAAGGTATGTTGTGTATGCAGACATATTAATGAAGATGCAGATGATTTCGTCAGTTAAATCAGGTTTCAGTTTATAATTTTGATAATGACAAATTAATGAAGATGTAGATGATTTATTGAGAGAGTGAAAATTCATTTAAGCTCTTCAACGTATGCGACATTATTCGTACTTCTTTTCATACTAATTCATGTGTTATAGAAAAAACTGTTTTGTACCCTTGTACGATTTTAACCGTTTTATATGTACTGTGGAACTGATGGAGAGATGAAGAGGCCTCCCTCAGCCTTGGTATAGTTTGTGTTTGACTAGGAATTGATTTTCTTATTTATTTTTTATTTCAGTATGATATTAAACTCACCATTATATAGCAATTTTTATTTATTTTACTTCAAAATAAAGGTAGTATATGATATAAAACATTATTTTACATTATTTAGGACAATAGATAAGAAAGTCTTACATACATACATCACACATGGTCACTCACTAAATTTCCTTCTAGTATACGTACTATGGATCTTCATTCTTCCTCTGAAAAAAATTTGTTACACATCGCACCTAGGAGCAGCAGTGTCGTCTAAGGTTCTGAGAAGCCCCATTTCTCTGGTGTTGCCAGTTTTTGGATCGTCGTAATGGTTTCCCATTGAGGTGTTGTGATTGGCGATCTGAAAGAAGTGGAACATGGTCAAGGTGAAGTTGGTGAAGATGCACTATACTGGCTCAGGTATTATCTTAAAGGATTTAATTGGTAACTACACAATTCCAGCCTCTGATCTGGACCTTATAGCATGTCTGAGACCTGCTATGAAGTAGTCATTTCAATCCTGAAGATGCAGTCTGCATGTTACTCCGAAGCTTCATAGCCACACATGTACATAATGTCACAACCCGGAAGACCAAATTTGCGGTAATTGTTTTTGTGGCTGTTCCTGAATTGTAAAATTAAAATTACGGTCTTGCTGCACTTCTCTAAAAGTTTCTTTGTATAGATTTTTTTCCACATAACTGAATACAGATGCGTGAGTCGCTCCAGGTTGAACGTTCGGTCATTACTAACCTTACCTGTGTTAGCACTAGCTGTGTTCATGTTGTAAGCTGGATTACCACCTTGATGAACAGTGAAGGTCCCAGCTATTACTTGTGTCCGTGTACGGCGGATGAAGCATCCTGCTGGTACCTGCCACTGCAATTCGACACGAGGAACACAAGGTTCAGTCTCATTCTGTGCATATAAATCGAGCAAAGCAAAGCAAAAGAAACCACAACAAAATGTCTTACTGACCGAATAGCTTGAAGTGGCGCTGTTTACTCCTGGTCTTTTTGGGCATACAACAGTCTTTCGGGCATAGCCACCAACATGCTATTAAATGAAAAATATATCGTGTCATATAAAAAACTGGGCGTAACATTATTCTGATGCTTGAATTGTGAGGTCTACGGCTAAGAATCACAAAGTATACATTAGATTCTATGATGAGGTCTACCTTAAAAATTATTAGAAAATATTCACTGAAAACAGCCAATGTGTTGTCATTTATTTGTGAAGGACAGACATGAGGTTAGATTTATACTTACAGGAGTCATTTCTTTCCGCAGATCAGCTTCTGAAATAGAAATAAAATTAATGGAGTACTATGAAAGAAATTACTTTCCCCGCAGTTTCAAGTCTGTTCACTCGTCTGCAATTACAAATATGTACAAGATGAAAGGAAAGTCGTCGTGCCTCACCATTCTTTAGGCTGCGCACGTCTCTTAAACTGTAACTAAATGTTCAAGGAACTCGGATCAAAGCAAAGAGTTAATGTTGGTGCATACCTTTAATGTGCACTGAGAAGTGGCACTTTGCCCGGTTGCCTGCAGCGTCATGAGCCAAATAATTCACGTGATGTAACCCGGGAGACATCTGTTGCCCTGGCTCCTGCAAAGTACGGCGTAACGTATTTATATGTGATATTAACACATTGACCCCCAGTATTTATATTCCATTTAATAACAGATAGACAAATGACAACAATTTAACATCTCATTATGTCACCTTAGATTTATATACTCGATCTACTCCCACATTATCGGTGAAGATGGGTTCGGCCCAGGAAACGGTCCTCGACACCTCGCCTGGCAGTAGCTGTACCTCAAATGACTGAGGACAGTCTCTCACACGTGGGCTCTCGTTATCTGGAAAGGTTGAAGAACCATGGAGTGGTTAAAAAGTGGGTTTATTTATTACTGATAGATTCTTTAAAGATACTATGGCAACTGCAAAGGTATTTTGGCCATAACCGTAAGAGAATGTAAGTATATTCTTAAATGAAAGCTGGAAGAGAAAATAAAAGACAAATTAATAAGTAACTTTTATCATTATAAGAAAAATATTTTTTCTAACTACGTTAGTTAGATTTTTATCGTACCAGAACATGCAGGAATACCTGGGGAAAATTCAGTACTTATGTGAGAGAAAACTGAATACAAAAGTTGATTAGAAAAACAGACGGGGACAGGCCACCTGAGAGATTTAGGCATAAATGGTAATATTAAGCTTGGTCTTAAAAGAGGCAGGATATGGGGCTGGACTGGATTAATCTGGCTCAGGATAGAGTTAGTGGTGAAACATGATGTTATTTAAGAGCCATGATATTTTTGACTGGCAGAGCGACTATAAGCTTCTCAAGAACTTAGATTTGTACTGTGAGAAATGTGATATTTGTGCCGATTTCTCTTGCTTTCAGTCGGTCGCAATACAAACGAAGTTACCCTATGGAATGCGTTATTCAGCTTTGCCTGGTATGCGACTTACCTCTCACGTAGACAATCACGCTGCAAGAAGCCGAACTGTTGTCAACAGGACTGTGGGCCCAGAATGTGATTTCTGTCTTCCCTGCATGCAAATCTGCCTCTAGTTGCTTGCCCCAGGCAGGGATCGAATCCACATACCTGCAAATACAACCACGTGTTTCTGATGCGCCATGTTGATTGGCGTCCTGTCGTAGGAAGTTTCATGTGCCAAGGTCAGATATAGTTCCTTCACACTTATACTCGTATATATTAGATTTTCTAGTTGTAACCTAATCAGTAAACAAGAAATTTTGGATTCTGGTATGCATGTAGTATTGTAAGTGGTAAGCAATGGCTCGTTGGAATTTTGCCTCATCTTCAACCCTTAAGAGGAGGTTATGTACTTCTCTGAAACGTTCCTGACCACCTACATGAATACGTCAGTCAATTCTCATTTGGACAACTGTGAAAGCCCAAAGCCTGAATGGTATTGCCAACTTTTCATTTAAGACGCACTTCAATTCAAATAGTTTATGTGCAGATATTCCAGCATTAATAAAACTATTTTATTAGTTGAGTATTTAAAATTAAATGGAGCGAAATACGTTGTTCAAACTTTCTTATTATCCACGACTATGTCAAAATAAGTAAAAAAAATGTCTGGAAAGTTATATTTTTTGGTTATATTACGACCCTATATAAACTCTCAACTTCAATCAAAGAATTTGAGCTATTTTTAATAACACTCATATTTCGCGTATCAACTTTAAAGTGCGTTTTTTATGCACTGCTTCAGATGCGAGTATGGACGTCATTAGGAATATTTTTAGAAATTAACGAAGTATAGATCACTTTATTTACTTTTTAAATGTTTGTCATGCTAGAGTAGCATTAGCCCATCATGTCCGATTAGGTGTCATTTTATTCATTAAGCCCCTCCAAGAGAACATTACGACGTGAACCCCATATGGAGTTACTTTTTATTTACGTGTTCTGTCTTGTGCCCCTAGACACTTGATCGACCTGGTTTGTAGCCGGATAGTTACACTTTTATAGTGTCACAAACTTTTCAAAGTTTGCTTTGACGTCTAATTTTAAAAAATCCTAAAAACTTAGTGTATAATGCCAGTAGTTTCTTGAGATACTGACCTCCACCAATCCATGTTTGACTTGGGTTGAGGAATTCTCACATGAACAAAGTTTTGATGAGATGGAAGGTCAATTTTAACATCCTGTGGACACTGGATGAATGGTCGTGGGACATCTGAAGCTGAAAAATTGTGTGGAGGACATTAGAAAGAATATTTTTAGAACACGTAAAAATTATTAATTGGACGAAACAATAAGTTAAACACAAATGAAGAATTGAAGAAACACCTAAGAAGGTGGATCACTCATTAGAATGACTGACATTAGGAACAAATGTTACGCTGATTACAGACTGTAAATGTGGAAATTTATGGAAAGACTTTACTCTATTTTGGAACACTTGCGGGAGACAGAATGAGACCCATACAATTTGTTCCCCTTATAGCAGCGTATGTGACACTCGGCACCCGGCGGATACTTCATTCCAGGCGAATGTCCTGGACAGCGCACTTCTCCATGTTCAGGCTCAACCAAAGCATTGCATCCGGACTCCTTCTCTGCTGATAGCATGCAAACGATTCGAGAATTTGAAGTTAATTTCGCAATAAACATCTTCGAAGATAACGAAAGATCATGGCTGTAGCGCGTAGTTATTGTGGTCTCAGGCCCTCAGTGTAGACAGATTTTGATAAGTCATCGTTTGGTTTGACTACAGAATGAAACATGGAATTTCAATTCCAGTAAAAGGAATGTTTTAAAGTGTTTCTATTTAATTAAGTTTCCCCAAATTCACGACAAGTTACCTATGCAAGTACGCTGGTCTGCGTGCATAGTGAAGCCGTCGCTGCAGGCACAGAAGAAGCTGCCCTGTGTGTTGACACAGTCCATGTTGCACCCTCCATTTCGTGTCTCTGCGCACTCATCGATGTCAACACATTTGTTCCGATCCCTGTACATTAACCAAGAAAACCGAGGTTTTACGTCACAATAGTTAAAAATCAAAGTTGTGTTGAACTTTCGGACAAGAAAGGAAAATTAATCGTGATGTTAAAACAACTTTGAAGACCAAGAAAGAGGTCTGTTTTTCTTCGTGTCCAGTACACATCATCACACCATCCAGCATGGTGTGCATTGGTGGTTAGTAGGATTCACGACCCATCAGTACATGGGTTCGATCGGGACCCCCTTTTCTGCGAGATGATGATGAAAGTGGAGTAATTGTTGGGATGCCAAGGAGAAACCGGGGAAACCCGGAGGAATACTCCGTGATGCCTAGATCACGGCCTTGCCCAACACAAGTTGTAAATCTGAGCACCGCCGGGAATCGAACCCGGGACCCCAGTATCTAACCGCTAGACCACCGTGGCGGATCTGGTGATAGTATTAAAATGTATCTGAAGAAAAGAGTTTGCAAGGATATGGATTAGCACAAATGTAAATTACTAACAGACATTTTATTGTCAGTTTAATGTTTATAAAAGTTGGAACCACAAGGAAAAGGCTGTATTAATACTGTAACAGTTCAAGAACAGAGCCGTGAATGTAAAAGATAACAGACAACAAAACATTTCCTACTTTCTTCGTGCCAAGGAGAATGCAGTGAGCAGGATTTGTAGAGAGATGTGAATAATGAGAGTTTGTTGCTATTTGAGGCAAATGTAATGGTACACCCCGACTAACGCAGTGTGTACTGGTACCTGGCATGGTGTTTATAGCCCGCGGGACAAGTGCAGTGGAAGGATCCATCAGTGTTGACGCACTCCTGGCTGCAGCCACCGTTGTGCATTTCGCATTCATTGACATCTGCAGAGAGATGAAATTGTTAAATTTAATGCATAAATAGCAGGTCTTCTGGAGATGTAACATGTGACGATACAATGTCTTCGTGCCAAGGAGAATGCAGTGAGCAGGATTTGTAGAGAGATGTGAATAATGAGAGTTTGTTGCTATTTGAGGCAAATGTAATGGTACACCCCGACTAACGCAGTGTGTACTGGTACCTGGCATGGTGTTTATAGCCCGCGGGACAAGTGCAGTGGAAGGATCCATCAGTGTTGACGCACTCCTGGCTGCAGCCACCGTTGTGCATTTCGCATTCATTGACATCTGCAGAGAGATCTGCAGGGAGATGAAATTGTTAAATTTAATGCATAAATGGCAGGTCTCCTGGAGATGTAACAAGTGACGATACAATATTAAATTACATATTTGTGGAAATCTGGACAGATTCTTTATTGATAGGTTCGCATTTCAAGTGACATTTAATCATATTTTGGAAGGATTGATCTTTAATTAGAAGTGCAGTTTGTTTCTCAACCATTTATCGTTCAGAGCGATAATTATGCGGTATCATGGCGATAACAATACAAAATGTGTGATATAACAACCTTTCGTTTGTAAAACCTAACTTTAAAGATAAATATTAAAAAATCAATGCTTGTTTTTGTAGTGCAGTGACGCTCGTGAGTAAGTTTAAAAGTTAATGTATAATCACATTACATTAACAATGACAGGAAAATAACAGTAGTTTTCGCCGGTTCCTGACAAAGTAAATGCATCTATATTCAAATTCTATATAAATAATAATTTCCGTCTCATTTTATTAAGCTATCTGAACATAACTACATATCCAAAGAAATTAAATTGTCAAAAGCTTTCAACTTAGCCCACCGCCTTCTTCACCCGTGCGTTCTACTTACCGACACACCGGCCTTCATGTTGACGATATCCTGGCTCGCACAGACAGCGGTAAGATCCTACCGTGTTGAGACATTTACCATCGCATAACCCTCCCTCACTGTCAGAGCATTCGTCCAGATCTGAATGAAACACCAAAATACCCACAGTAACTAATTTGCGTTGTTTTGGAAACCTCAGTCTGGACTGTATTATGTAGAGGTCCAGAATATTTTTATTTTGTCGTCGATATAATAATTAATATGCAGGGAAACATTTTCTTCCTAATCCTTCCGTATGACTATGGGCCCTTTCTCTACTCAGAATTCTGCCTTCGTCATAATTTAGCAAACTGCATTTCTTCGCATCCTTTAACAAACTAGTTTTGATTGATATGTCTTACCCACACAGACGCCGCCCTGAAGACGATATCCTGGTTCACACTGGCAGTAGAAAGACCCCACAGTGTTCACACATCGACCCTCGCACACACCCGTCCTGCATTCGTCAATATCTAAAGGGGGGAAACTCATTTCTGTATCAGCCAGACCAACATTACTGTCTGATATTCCATATTTAACTCAATAACAAATTTGTCTGTCTGTCTTTCTGACTAGTTGAGCGACTATGAGCTTCTGCAGAAGGACTTTGATCCATTGAGTACAACTGTCGTAATCAAGTGGAGTGACTGAACTGAATATTCCTGAAAACTAATCGCACTAAAATACGATATTGTAATTTTTTTCGTATTAATTTGAACAGCTCTATAAAATAACGAATCATGGTTTAATATTTACACCGACAATGTCTGGCGTATGTGAGATGATATTTTTAAGTAAATTAAATTTAGACCTAATTAAAAGCACGTCTTCGCCTGTACTCCTACATCTCATGAAGTGTTTTAATATAAGTAAGACAGGTTACAGTACCAAAATGTAAAATTACACTAATTTATATCCATATTAAAATTAACTCTGCTATTATTTATTCACTTATGGTACATACCTACACATTTCTTGTCCATCCTATGAAAACCATCTTTACAACCGCATTCATAGGAACCTGGAAAATTAACGCAGAAATGTTGGCAACCATGTTTCGAGTCTTCTTCACATTCATCGAGGTCCCGGCATGTCAAACCATCGTCCATGAGACGGTATCCAGGGAAACAGGAACACACCCGGCGACCATAAACACTTTCGCAGAGCTGGGAACATCCGCCATTGTCGACATCACATGGCATTTCCTCACCGCACTGTTTCCCGCCATCCAGAAGGCGGTATCCACGGGGACAGTCACACTTATAGCTGCCTGGGATGTTGATACATTTATGGGAACATTCTCCGTTCCTCATGGAACATTCGTTTAGGTCTATGCATTTTCGGTGATCTTCTGGTGACGATCTGTAACCTACCGAACAGCTGCAGTGGAAGCTACCTTGAGTGTTAGTACAAATGTAAGAACAACCTCCATTTCGCACTCTACATTCATCAACGTCTACACAAATCCTTCCATTTTCATCGTCAATCAAATAACCAATCGGACACCCGCACCTGTAACTCCCCGCAACATTTATACAGTGATGCGAACATCCCCCGTTCTTCGCTTGGCATTCGTCGATGTCCTCACAAGTTTCGTCGTCTTCTCCCAAAGTATAACCGACCGGACAGATACAATTATAACTGCCAAGTGTGTTCAGACATTCATGTGAGCAGCCATTGTAGACGCTGTCCGAGCACTCATCAATATCAACGCAAGTTCTGCCATCGCGATGGTCTATGATATACCCAGAAGGACACGCACATTTTTCGTTTACGCATGAGTGAGAACACCGTGCACATTCGTTAGTTGAGATACAAGTGGTGTTTGTAACGCCATCGAGATGGCTTCCATCAGGACAGTCACACTTTGAACCCCCAGGCAAGTTGATACATTTGTGAGAACATCCTCCGTTCTCATGGAGACATTCGTCTATGTCCAAACACGTTTTAAAATCTTCGTCTATATAATTACCTTCTGGGCATTTGCAATGGACGCTTCCTACAGTATTAGAGCAGATGTGGGAACAACCGCCATTGTCCTCGAGACATTCATCCACGTCCGTGCAGGTCCTGCCGTCTCTAGCTAAAGTATATCCTTTGGGACAGATACAAATAAAGCTGCCAGGAATGTTTTCACACTCATCAGAACATCCCCCGTCGTCTTTATTTTGGAGACATTCGTCGATATCTGTGCATGTCCGATTCCCAGTAAGAATATAACCTCGAGGGCAGTCACAGTCGAAGCTCCCAAGAGTGTTGTGACAAATATGGGAACAACCCCCAAGGTCATCCGTCAGACATTCATTAATATCCACGCACGTTGTGTTATCATCGTCTTTCATTCTGAAACCTGTGGGACAAGCACAGTAAAAACTTCCGAGAGTGTTAATACAATGGTTAGAACACGGATCGGCGTTTGTGTCGCATTCATTTATATCTTCACATTTGGACGTGTCATCACGCTGCACTTGGAATCCTGGCTCACACTCACAACGCCTTGATCCTTCGGTGTTAATACATTTGTGCGAACATCCTCCATTATGTACTGCACACTCATTTATATCCTCACAAGATTTTGGATCATTCGCTTCGAGACGGTAACCTTGCGGACATGCGCAGTGGTAGCTACCCTTGGTGTTGACACATTCGTGAGAACAGTCACCACCGTCTCTCTGACACTCATCGACGTCATGACACGTCTTGTGGTCAATATCTGACAACTTGTATCCATTCGGACAGCTGCAGTGGAATCCCTTGCTATCCCCAGTGCAGAAATGTGAGCAACCACCGTTGTCAACGACACATCCATCCACCTGAACACACGTCTTACCATCATCTGCAAGAAGACGATGCCCTTCTGGACAAGCACACTCGACTCCTCCATCTGTGTTTGCGCACAGGTGTGAGCAGCCCCCGTTGCTGACCATACATTCGTTAATGTCTTCGCAGAGGCGTCCATTTGCTGAGAGCTGATACCCAGAGTCGCACGTGCAGTGGAAACTGCCCTGCTCATTCACGCATCCCTGAGAACATTCTTCTATTTCGTTTCCGTCGACACATTCATCGACGTCCTCACAAGTGTGTCTGTCGTTGCCTAGCACATAACCGTGTTGACACTCGCACCTGAAACTTCCTGGCTCGTTGCTACACCTCTGGGAACATGGCTCATCAGCGCATTCATCAATGTCTTCACAAGTCATTTTATCGTTTCCTAGGCTGTAACCTTTCGGACATGTACAGTAGAAATTACCAAGCTTGTTTACACAGTCATGGGAACACAGAGTCGAATTATGTGCGCATTCATCGATGTCCTCACACGTTCTGTCATCGTCCCCAAGCGCGAATCCTTCAGGACACACGCACTTGAAACTTCCCGGTAGATTTACACACTTATGTGAACAACGCTCACCTGTATCATTTTCTCCATTACCACTGAGACATTCATCAACATCCTTACAGGTCCTGAAATCTGCACCAAGTATAAATCCCTGAGGACACTGGCACCTGAAACTCCCAGGTTCATTGGTACATTCATGAGAACATCTACCACCTGTTTCATTTTCAAGATCACCACACTCATCAACGTCTTTACACGTTCTCAGGTCTTCACTGAGAATGTAACCGGAAGGGCACTTGCACATGAAGCTTCCGGGTTGATTGACGCAGTGGTGAGAACAGCGCATGCCTGTTCCATTGTCTTCCACAGAATCGCCACACTCGTTCACATCCTCGCACGCGTGTAAATCATCCTTCAGGATGAAGCCAGAGGGACAAGAACAGTTAAAACCTCCAGGCTCGTTAGTACAGATGTGGGAGCAGGGATTGTCTGTTTCACATTCGTCTATGTCTCTACACGACCTGAGGTTGTCTTCTAAAACGAATCCTTCCGGACAGGTACACGTGAAATCGCCCTGCTCACTGACGCAGTCATGCGAACACTCTGTTTCCTGTTCTTCGGTACACACGTCTATTTCCTCACAGGTCCTTTTATCTGCTCCCAGACGGAAGCTAAGAGGACACTCGCAATGGAAGCTGCCAATTTCGTTCACACATTTATGAGAACAAACGAAGTCGGAATCATCTGCCTCTTCTTCGCATTCATTTAGATCTTCGCATGTTTTGTCATCGTCGCTGATGTCATAGCCATCAGGACAGATGCACTGGTAACCCCCTGGTTCGTTTGCGCAGCCGTGGGAGCATCCGGGTTTTTCCTCCAGGCATTCGTCTACATCTGCGAGGGTAAAAAGGAACAGCTTTGTGCAAAGTGCATCACGGATACCACAAGAACCGCATAAAACATAAATATACACATTTTCATAAAACTTATAACAATTATTTATTTTAATCCGTCTGATCACAATATTTAAAATTTCTTATAATTAAGATAATAAAATATCATTCATGTTCCGTATCGATTGATCGATTTACATTTCGGAACAATCAATCGATACGGAACATGAATGATATTTTATTATCTTAATTATAAGAAATTTTAAATATTGTGATCAGACGGATTAAAATAAATAATTGTTATAATATTCACAATATAACGCAATTACACTATCTTATACATAAAACTGTCGTAATTAACACACAGTTTATTTTAAAGAATGTAGAACTGTAATGGGCATTTTTGATAAGTAATGGTAAAGTGTAGTAATGTTAGAGTACTAACCAACACAGTAGCCATCTTTTCCGGGTTTGTAACCCGCATTGCAGTTTCCAGGGTCATCTTCAGGACCATTTAACAGTCCTGCCTTCTCAGCACAGGTGTATGACCCTATGGTGTTCACACAACCCAATGGACACTTGATGTCTTCCATCTGGCACTCATCAATGTCTGAGAAAGGAAATTTTATCTGTTGGAAGTCAGTCATATGCGGGATACAACATGGAAAGCTTTATTAATCGATATACTTTATTCATATATTGCAACGTGAGATTAACTTGTAATTCTATACGTAAAAATATCAGGAAAGAACTCACATTCATGAAGAAGGTAGATATTATCTATCTGGAAATTATAAATATAAAATTAATTAGTAATGTATAAATTCAAGTTAAACGGAAATTACGAAATGTATAATTACATTTTTGGCGGGGAATGTAGTACGTATCGTGGAGAGGATAAATGAGTAGACCTACAAAAAGACAACCTGAGAGACCTAAGAGTACATGAATGGGTGATATCAGAGTTAATATTAAGAAACTAGTTTGTGCAAGTCTGTGAAACACATTCAATTTTAATTTTTTTGCCAAATTATTCGACAATTCTCAACATTGGACGCGGCCCATCCCAGAAGGCCGAAGTTGCACACTGAACTCCAGCCGTGAAAACCTAAGAAGCTAACTGATCGCGAGCCTATCAGCTCCCGGACTGCAGTCGTCTCTTAACATTCTGGTCTGCACTGTCGTTCCTGGCCGCTGCCGTGGTCTTACCTTCGCACGTCTTGTAGTCGTCACCGAGCATGAGGCCGGGAGGGCAGAGACAGAAGAAACTGCTGAGTGTGTTGAGACAGGAGTGGGAACATCCCCCGTTGTTGCGAGCGCACTCGTCCATGTCCTCGCAGCTGTGGTTGTCAGATGCGAGGCGTGTACCAGGGATTCCTTCGCAGCTGCATTCGTAGCTGCCCGGAAGGTTGCGGCACGAGTCCTGGCAGGGACCGTGTCCATTCCTCAGCAGACACTCATTCACGTCTGCAAGCAAACGACGACCTTCGAAGATGATCTACTTTCCTGTCATCTGAATCCATCCAGAGGGCGGAATTTCAGTTTATAAGTGACGTAGATATCCGTGAGACGGATCCTTTAGCTTAACATACGATCCAAACCATGCTGAGACCAAGTATTCTCATGTACACATGACCTTGCCACACGTGAAGAAAATGTCACTTTTGATCCAAATGGTCCCCGAACTGGAGGACTTTTGTCTTGATGACAGAGACACCAAGCGCCTCTGAAACGTCGGTCAATTTCTACGGCGCAATGTCCCAGCATGTCGTTAGAACCTGAAATCTTAACAAGTATTTGGCTTCCTTACCAAGGCAAGACCTCCCGTTCGCTGCCAGACGGAATCCTTGTCGACAGGTACAGCTGAAGGAGCCAGGGATGTTGAGGCACACTGATTGGCAGCGACCGTTATCGACAGAACATTCATCGATATCTGGAACACAAATTCCGTCGCTAACTTGCGTGACACCGTGTAGACTCGTAGGTAGATATCAACGTTTCGGAGAAACATACTGTTTCCATCTTCAGGGCTGTAATTTTGCTTCTTGTTTTGTGTTTATTTTTATGAAGAGAATATTTGAACCTAATAGAGAGGAAGTGTTAGTTTACTGGTGAAAATTTCATAATGTGAGCTTCATAATTTGTAGTCTCAATCAAATATTATGTACGTCGAATCAGAGTGACAGAATTGACATGACGTGTGACAAATGAGAAACTCAGAACGAATTTAATCTTATAAGCTTTAAAGGCGGAGACTACTTCATAAACTTGGGTGCAGATGAGGGATTTATATTAAAATGGACCTTAAGGACATTGGTATGGTATAGAGTCAGTTGACTCGTTATCCGTTAGTGGACTCTTGTGAAGACAGTAATAGACCTTCGAGCTTCACTAAAGGCACGACCAGCTTCTGATGACGTATTCCGCTTGAAGCAGTTTGGCTTATTTTAGTCGGAAGAGATACGGAGTTGCTTATTTCAGTACCATATCTCAATTATCGCACGAGTTATCAATAAAGCTTTTATGAGTTTAATGTGGAGCCTTCAGTTTCAAGCAAGACGCGACGGACAGATGTACACAAATTATGCATAAAGCAGGTTTGCTGTAATATTCGAATTCAGCACTGGACATTATAAACATGTATCTCACCCACGCACGTTCCGACACCGCGCAGACTGAAGCCCTGGTAACATGAACAGATGGGCTTTCCGGCCACCTCCTCACACACGTGGTCACATCCGCTCCTGTTCTCTGAACACCCGCCCGCCGAAACGTCTGAAACAAACAACTGCAGGCCAGACAAGAAATCTAAAGCGTAAATAACAAAATACAGTGTCTGACGCAAAGGTAGATTTTTATTTTTATTTAGTATCATCTTGTAGGTAGAAAATATATTTCATTTGTTGTTTAAACAAATTCTCTTCGAAGTGATTTTTCAGGTCCTCACGTCGACGATTATAAAAATGCCTTTGATGGAGGCAGTAGT